GTGATAATATATTTAAATAAGTACCATTTATGTTTCTATCAAACAGATTTAGGGAAAAAGGTAATGTAAGTCCACTGCTGTTTATCTGAATTTGCAAGCCACAAATTGACGTTTAACTATGATTATTGCATAGCCATTTTCTTGTGAAATATTATTGCTTGGCATTTCACACTGACCAATGACCACCCCCAAAAGTACCATCTCTGAACCATATAAGCACCTCAGAATAGCCAAAGCTTTTATGGTTTGGTAGATAGCAGTATGGCGAAAGTGTCGTTTTTGTGTGTGGTCAGTTTCGGACGTTTCGCCCCGGATTGGGGTTCGGGCAGCATTACCATGTTGACCGTCATGGTCAACTTACCCTAAAACAGTTGAGATTATCTGTCCTAAATGAAATGCATACAAACTCGTATACAGGTCCTAGACTAAAGTGAATAATCGGTGCACGATTCACCCTCGTCAATACTTGCAGTATCACACACTCTACGTGAACCATTCAGACTAACTGGTATCACTTTAAATGATGAGCTGTGGAGTTTAAAGACAACAAATGATGCATTGTCTCTTGAGCTGAATAATCTCTTTCACCAAGAGATTTCATAATTAACTACCTTCTTGATAGCTCTATGTGGGTCAGTATTACTGTCAACATTTTGCACAATAGAATAGAATGCTTGTTTCAGTACAGGTGACCTTGGCTCACCTTTAGCTACATATTTTGTCTATGCTATCAGCTGATGCATTAGGTTTTGCACTTGCATCGAAGACCATTCGTACTTTTGTTGTGGTAGCATTCTGGCGCACAACCGGTTTGTGCGGCATGTAGTAAACCCGGTCCCCAGTGGAGGTGTCTGGGGCTACTTCCACTCCTCCTTGGCTTAACTGTTCGCTTATAATGTTGTTGTACTCTCGCTTTAGTTCAGGGGTTTTATCTAATTTTCTATCGACATTCTGTAACCGTGTCCTACTCTGCTGTTCGTTTGTATCCAACGGTCTTTTCCCTAAAATCCATGGAAAACTGACCTCATACCCTCCCGTTCTCCTTTCTCGTAATGTTCTCTGTAAACTCATTCAGAATTTCACTGTTGGTGTCTCCTCTGTCCTCTACTCCCAAGACGTATAAACTATACAGTCTCTCACAGTCACTTGTCTCTCTTGTGAACATGCACTGATCATCGGTGTAGTCATCGCCTCCATGGATTACCCAACCGAAACTGGTTTCTTCAACGATCAGGTCTCCCAGCTCCCCCTTGCACACAGTTTCAGTTCTGATTCGACTAAACATGTTTTCTCCAATAATAAGATGAATCTGGCATTTCCCATTCTCAGTATAGTAAAATGCTTTAATTTTAGCTCGGGAATATGAGGTCTTCTGACTGTCGTAAAGTCTGGAAGTTTCAAACCAGTAACCTAGATTTTCTCTCGTGCTCCCCCGTCAAGAGCATTAATTTCTATTTCATAAATTGGCATTGACTGATTTGTGATCCCATTCAGAGTAACAATTTCTCTCGGTTCATGGCGTTTTGGCTTCAAATTTAACATTTTCGCTGCGTCCCGAGAAACAAAGTTCCTAGCGGAACCATAGACGGATTTTCATATTTTTTACTGGGGTGGTGCCAGAAATTTTAGGGGGGTGAGCCGCGAGCAGGTGACTGAAGCAACACCATGTGTCACCAAACCCCAGTAAGGTCTATATTCTAGGGGTGGAGCACTAGAGCCGCGAGTGGGAGTCTAGAGAGCAGAAAACAAAGTATCCCTGGAAAAATGTGAAAAAATCATGATTTCTAGCTTCGAAAAAAGTTTTTTGAAGTTGTCATATCAATGGATTTGGCCTGTCCGATTGTCTGTCGAGACTTGAGTTAAATGAATCTGTAAAAGTGTATAAACCCAATAGGCCAATGCACAATATGCTTTTACTTTTATAAAATCATTGACATTGTGTCGTTTGAATCTGAGTATAATTTATGATGCAACTCCGATCTAAATAATATTTGGGACGTAAAGATTAAATCTAGGCAAGACTATTTCCTAAAAGAATTTTAATTCTTAAAATTCTTAAGTCTTTTAATTCTTAAGTTTTTAAAAAAACTGAAAATAAATGTTCGTAAAATTTCCAAACGTTACTTGCAAGCAAGCTATTTGCATGACAAGGCACTGCAAACTCTATTCAGGGGAGATAATAGGTTTCAAAACTTTACAATTGGTCCAATAAACCAGTGAATGCAAGCGAGGAGCAATTAGTTTCAGAGTATTGCACGGTCTTTTTCTGTTTGATTGTACTCCTACGTTTATTTTGTATCATCAACACTCTGCACATTGGAGTGGACTATTTAATTATTTTTTATTATGCCGAATATTAGGGGGGGGGTTGAAATTTTTTTTGGTGGGGTGGACATTTTGTTTGGGGGCTTATAGCTAATATTGGGGGGTAGCACCCCCCTGCACCACCCCACAAAATCCGTCTATGAGCAGAACCAGTGTCTAAATAAGCCCACATCACCTCCCCCCAAATCTTGACTGGAATAATGGCTGGTAAAGAATTCTTCTCAGGGGACTTGCTGTAACCATTGGGATTTTGGTTCTTGTCACATATACTGGTGTGATGCTTTGACCCACACTTGAAACAACCTCGGCTACGGCACTGGGACCCCCTATGACCAGTACGTCCACAAGTGAAGCATAAGTTCTTGTCAACAAAGAACTTCCTTCTCTGATCTTGTGCGACTACTCTTTTGCACTCATCACTCCAGTGTTCCTCGCTACAAAATATGCACTTTGGTTTCGGTTTCCTATCCCCCCCCCCCCCGGTACCAATTTCTTTCTCTCTTCCGGTTATCACTTGGGGGTTTGAAACCATCATCACATTTGTTTCTCTTCAATCATTTTCATTTATATTTGTATGCTAAGAAACCTTTCAAAGCCGTCTGAGTAAGTTGACACAAACCTGGGTCATTCTTTAGTTTAGCAGTACCATGACAATGGATACTACCTCTACCTTGATATTCATATCGAAACCAGTGCCATTTTGCACCAAGTGTATCATAAAGCCAGTGTTTTACAAGGCTTTCTAATCTTTGGGTGAAAAACCAATCTACAATATGGGGATTGTTAATAACATTTTGCCGTCTTAGCTCACTGGTAGAATTACCAATCTCACAATCTGTAGGTGCTTTAAATAAAGCATGTAATTCAGGCCAATGCATATCTGCAGAGGAAAAAGTAAAAAATAATGTTGGTGCTCCAACACTGGTAATAACAGCTTTGAGTTCTTCTCTTACTTTATTCCAGTAGGCATTAGTACCAGCAATATTATATTAGCAATGTTACTGGCAGTCATTTCACACAGTTTATCAATGGTGAGATGTGCTTCACCTGGGTTTTGTTTAAGAAATATTCCACTTTGCTGTAAGATTTGTTTTCTTTGGATCATGTTGAAAGCCCAATAAGAAAATCTTGGGTGGTTAGCAAAACGGTACACCCATTTACCATCAATAATTTCAGCAAATTTTAAAAGATGCTTTATTCGTTCATGAAGAGGGACATCTCTCAAACGTCCTTGATTAGTAGGATCACCTTTCCCAACTGGAAAAAATGTTGGGAAAGCCATTGTGGCCAGATGTGATACTTGATACTCATTTAATGGTTCATTGTCAACTGAGGGCCACAGCATTGGCTCGCTTTCAGAAACCTGACTTTTAAGAGCTTCTATATCATGTTGTTGTTGTAGACCGACAGGTAAAAAAATACTCATTCCTGTTGAGTCATCATAAACAATATCCTCCGAGGGGTTATCAGTAGGAGGGCCTACATCAGGAGAACAATTGTCAACAGCGACTATATCATCATCAGTCTCAACAGTCATGAGATCTGGCGGTACACCATTCTCAGGTAATGAATTTAATGCAACATACTTCATTAATTGTTAACTCAGAATAATGTGGATTATTATTAATAAGCCAAATTAAAGCATTATGCACTTTTTGTTTTTGTACTGTCACATCTCTAAATGTGTTCTCTCTACCTTTAACCTTGACAATAATCACAGACAAGTCTTTAGGATATCTTGGCCAGGGGCGGATTTAGCCTCTTAATCTGACCGTAGCATTTTTGATGAAGTCAACATGCATGATAACTCTAATCAATATATTTGTAGAAATTGTCCAAAGACAAAATTAAGGATATTACTATATAGATCTATAGTAAATATTGTATTTTAATTAGTTTTCTAATATTGCATACTGCACGTATATCTATCCATGTTATATTTTGCATGGCCCTCCTGAAAACAGCTTACGAGAAGTAGGTTCCCTGAATAAATACTGTAATAATACTATAAGTCTTATATGAATAATTATACATTCATAAAATTAATTAAGCTTGTGTGACCAATAGTGCTGTGAATCAGTTAATTAATCACTGATATTACTTTTTATGCACCAATCAATGTTTTGCAGTACCATGTGTAAGGTGGGCAAATACAGAGTAACAAAGACATATTAACCCATTACGCTGCAGAGCTTCCCCATTGACAAGTAAAATCTGCTGACGTTAGACAAGTAAAAATATATAAGTAAGGTGCACTGAGATGTACTGCGACTCAATCAGCTAACTAGAGACATTGTCAGATTTTTTGGTTAACCCATTAAATTAAACTGCAGAGCTTCCCCATTGACAAGTAAAATCGTCTGGTGTTAGACAAGTAAAAAAATAAGTAGGGCACACTGGGGCTCAGTGGGTTAACCAACATTTTGACATTTTCATTGATTAAATGAATATTATTTACCCAGGATGTAGTAAATTGAAAATGTTATAATCCCCTCACCTGTGTTAGTCGCCCTCCACAGGGTCAAGCAAAACAACAACAGTGCATTGCAACAATACCCTGTTCCATAGGCTCTTTACGAGGCAAAAGAAACGAGAGGTGAGAACAGAGAGCCTCTGGTCATATCGAGTGCAAATCCTATTTCCACACTTGATCACATGCAAGATTCAAATTCTGAACCTAATCAAGTGTGGAAGTGGGATTTACAATCGATATGACCAAAGGCTCTCCATTCTCGCCTCTTGTTTCTTTCGCCTCATAAAAGTCAGTCTCTGGAACCAGGGTATTACAACAACAGTCCTGAAGCCATAAAATGCATTTCCTCAACAGCAGTAAAGTTATGATAACTTATTTACTGTTGCTGAGGAAATAATATGGTTATTAATTAGGTGCATTTGGAGTATTTGGTTTGACTGTTTGGCACTTTCAAAGGACCACATACAATACATGGATTTGAAACACCTAACCATATATTTTATTATCCCACAATTCTAAACTCTGTTATTATACATGCATGTAAACTACAATGTAATATATCAGAGTATAACTATTTCTATAAATTTATAATGTTTACACCACTCACTAGTCTTTATAGACATAGACTACAGCAGGTCTACAATAAACTTACATGAGCAGAGTCTAAGATATAAAATATATAGCAGACTAACTTACATATTCTTAAAATAAACACACATGGCATGGCAATGGCTATCAAATAGTATTAGAGGCCATTGGCATTGTCCTGTAATAGTATAACTATTTTTATAATACTATGATACATTTCATGAGCACAAATATGGTAATATATTCAAGACGAATGAACTGTAATATATTACAGTAATATATTATTCATAAGACTGACCTGACAGGGAGGTGATTCAGGCCCTGTTTACACTATACCGGATTCGCTTGTCACGACATCTTCTTTTGCCGTTACGGAGCAATGGTTAGTAGCAAATGCTTATTAGTTTGACAGAATTGGCATGTTTATTTGGGTATCTGTCTGAGATTAAAAATCTTCACAGCCATTCGATACGTACAAAATTTGATCCTCTCCGATAGCAATCCGGTATAGTGTAAACAGGGCCTCAAACAGCACTGTTGTTCACTTTGCGGGAACTGCAACTGAGAAGAATCGAACACCAAAACCTTTCGATATGACTTATTTCGCGATTCATCCACAACCACTTTCTCACACAGAGATTTAATGGAGGCTAGTTTAGTCGCCTTTTCGTTAAAAGAAATACGTTCGTTCATAATACACAGAAGCTCGTCGAGTGGTCCATAGAAGCCGCCATATTTTGTCCTTGCAACGAGCGGCGATTAAAATTTAGACAATAACAATCAACATTGCTCTGAAGTCGAAGCGACTATTGCAAACAGTAGCATTTTGCTTCATTCTGATTGGCTTGCTTCGTCTAACTGTAGCAAACCAATCAGAATGCCATATTTGCGAATTTTTGCAACAGTCAGTTTCAATCTGACCACTGCAAAAATTTGCAAATACGGCGCTCTGATTGGTTTGCTATGGTTAGACGAAGCAAGCCAATCAATGAGGCAAATGCTACGGTTTGCAATGGCTTGCTTCAACTTCAGAATGATGTGATTTAGTATTGCTGTAAAACCCGCAAATAGGGCAGTATTTTCGGGTGGAAATTTGATAAAATCCCACGGTTGCAACGGTCTGCATCCGCCCCTGTTGGCAATGATGTAGCCAGTTCTTTTACATTTTGAGGCAAGTTGATACATTGCCCTGAGTAGCCTCGTTGTCCACCATGTTTAATATAGACTCTCATGACAGGAAGAGCTTGTGCAATCAACATTTCCTCAACTTGAGACAAATCTTTCAACTCTTGTGGAACTGAAGAGGGAATCATTGAATTTTCAAATGAGAATTTTTTTAGGAGATTTTTTATCTCTGGAACATTGCAAACATATATAACCAGTACTGGTAGATAATCTTGGTTTAGATCTAAGAGGCCATGCCTCATGACAAATTGAACATTTACTTATGAAAAATTCAACAGATTTATGAAATTTCTTAATATTAGCTTTTACCCACATTTGTTCATGAATAGTTCTGTTTTTGATTAAGTCAAACTCTTTCAAATAATTTTCTTGAGTTGGAATTTTGCTGTCAACTATTGTACAGTTTTCTCTAGATGTAGGACAGATATTCGATTCAGATTGATCTGAAAATTTGCTTTTTTCAAATTGTTTTCTTACAGCAGTGTCATTTGCTTGTTTATTTCTTCTATATTCCTTTTCAATCGTAGCTCTTTTTCTCTTTTTCAGTTTCTACTGCCTTTTTAAATTTATGACAGTTTCTATTATTTTCAAGTCTAATTAACTTTTCAGTTTTAGTTTCAACTGTTTTTTTCAATTTATGACAGTTTCTATTTTTTCAAGTCTGATTTCCCTTGCAAGTTCAGTCTCCCCTGCTTTTTTTAATTCATGATATTTTCTATCAGTTTCGAGTCTGATTTCTCTTTCAGCTTTAGTTTCTACTGCAAGTGTTAATGATGTAAGTAAGAGGTCCAGCTAAGTCCACTGCCACGTCTTTCGTCATGCTCTTTGCGCACAGCACCAGTTTTATAAACTTTACAGGTGTATTTCATCAACACGGGGTAGAACAGTCCATTCTCAACTTTCCTATTTCCTGAAGTATCTCATTTGGTGACGCTTGGTGCATTGTGAAGGTACGGCGTTCATGATCAGGTAGATTTTGGTATAGATCATTTGTGTTATCAGGCTCTGTTCCCATGGTTCTTCCTGCATTGGTAATAAAATACTTATTTAGAGTTTCTGGGTTTTCTCTTAATGGTTGCAGACTTGGATAAAGAACACGGTGGATAGCTCTCCACACTTCTTTTGGTCATTATGGTGACACTGAAAAGTGGCACTGAAATTATCAATGTTCATATCTATATCTCTCTCCAGATGAAATGGTAGTTATGACAGAAGGCAACCAGGACATATCCAATAATTTATAGCAATAGACCTGCTCACTATTATATCTGTGCATTTTCCATGTTGTTGTCCAAAGCATACTTCACACACAACTTTCACACTATAAACTTTAGTGGTTCTACAACAGCAGTCAAGAGGTGAGACAGGCATGAGAACAGCAGCCAAAGTCAGGGCTGCATAAAATATTTTATTTTCTGGGACCACAAAGCCAATGGAAATATTTTCTGCATGAAAACACTGGGAATCTTATGTTTTTATTTAAATTTGATCATCACTAAACAAGATTCAGTGCATTCTATGCAACCGTTTCATTAGATTTGAATTCAAAATAGATGTATTTCAACATGGCTATGGAATAAATATTCTTTACATTTTAATTTAAGAACAAACATTTACAGGGTAATTCCATGGTGACAGACGTTACATGCACAGAATATTTTGAAAGAAATTGCTCTGATATTTTTGTTCTGAATTATAAACTAGGGCAATTTTTTAACATTTGTGCTGCATATAGCCTAAGTATCACACATAAAAATGTTTACCACCATACTTCACATATATCACCAGCAAATCAGTGTGGATTATAACGGTCGGCAATCGGCCATTTGCTGAACAAAAACAACAAATGGCCGATCAACTTTATTCTGGTCGGACATTTTGACCGATCAAATATATACAAAGATTCCATTACTAAAATTCGATTACGAAGACCCAATCAAAGTGCTCGGAGGCCGTACGCTTCCCGAAGACCAGAACGGATGAAGAAGAATCGGAAAGTGAAGTATATTTTTCACTAAGTGACTGGGATACTTGGTTTGGCAACAGTGATGAGTCAGACGAATGAATTCAAACAATATAAGGGACCGCTCATTATTTATTGTACAGGGGGGGATTGAGGAGAAACTGGGGGGGCCTTCAAATTTTTCAAAACCTGAAAGGGGGTGCTTTGAAAAAATACAGAGAGACGAAAGAAGGGGGGCTTTGAAAATATTTACCAGTTTGAAAAAACAGTAGTTTTAAAAATGTATCACAAAACAACTTAACAACAAATAACAATATTTATAGACTTTAATATTCATAAATGGAAGTCAAAAAGTCTCTCATGTTCATGTAAATAGACAATT